AGAGGTGTTTTTTATATATGGTAAAATAAGTCAGATTTAATGAACCAGCATACAATAAATGTAACTTTTATTTCATATATACCCTTTTATTAAAGATTTATTTCTAATACAGCAAATACTGTGAAGCAATACTAGTATATTACACACTGGACTGTAGACAAGTAGACAGCAGGCAGACAGATAGATGGATGGCCAGACAAATGGATAGACAGCAGACAGACAGACAGACAGATAATTGGGGCACCAAATATATCTCATTGGAATCCTGATCAAATATACAGGATACAATGAAATACAATACATACATGACCAGTTTCTGACTTTTCTTTCTGTACCAGTTTTGTTTCTTCAGCTTTTTCCATATTCATTTTTTTCTCTTTTTCTTCTTTCAAAGAAGATTGCAGGTGTATTTTCGATGACTTTCTCTCTAGCATTGACAATGAATCACTATGTCTGTACAAAAAAAAAATAACTTTTACAAAAATAGCTGTTACATATTTACAGGAAGAGATGTACAGTATTGTTATTGATTCAATTGCTGCATATTCAGCTTTTTAAATATTTTATGAGCATTTTCTGACTGAAACTCTAAGAACAAAATACATGTTCTCAGATGTGACAAAAGACAATACTATATTGTGAAAACATCCAAGTGTAGATGCTATAAATAGATTAGAAATACTGTCAGTATATATTATATTTTCACTCTATTATGGAACACCATCGTCACTCTTGTAAAATTTGTATACTTTAACATCTAACAAAAACATACTTTTGGGTCACATGTGCCACCTATTAGAACAATGAGCATTGTTAATTTCAAACTCCTTGATAAAACTGTTCAAAATAGAGTATTTGACTGTATACTTACAAGGAAGATGGATGACCATCTTTATCACCCATGGAAACTGTTGTTAGAGATCGCATCTCTGAAAGATTATGGATCTCTTCACTAAGTGACAATACTGCATAGTGAGAGATGGACAGTATATTAACAGTAAAGTCACTAGGATACTATGTCATATTTATAAGGCTACAAAATTGACCAGTTTACCCTGTGAATGAAATTTCAGTATTCTGATTTCCATTTTAACAATAAACTTGTTTGGTTTATGCTTAAAACCCAAAATGCAATTTATTGCAATTTATTTCTTAACTCATAACAACCTACTGGAGGAGGTTAAAGGTTACAAAAGAAAATTACGAATAAAAATTAATCAAATTACAAGTCATTGAAAATGACACAGTCCCGTTAAATTTTTGAAAGTTCTCTTTGTGCTCATCATATTAAGGCAGAGGGGTTGTCGCGAGCGTGTCTTTGAAACTTGAGTTCCAAGTGGTGTATACAACAGATTGTTTATTTACATCAAAACACGTGTTCTGTGTAGTAGTGATATGGCCAAAAATAAGAACAGCGGTTATTTGGCCATCTTTGATCTGATTATGAAACACACCAGTGTTCTCCACAAGGGGTTTTAGGCGGGCGGCCCGCCCACCAAGTTTTACGGCCGCCTAGGAACTCTCAACACCCGCCCACCAATGTAGATCCAGCTGAAATTATTTGTAAAAAGCTTGCATTGTTCTTCCCAAGCCTAAACAAAAGAGTAGTTGCCCAACCCTTTATTTTGCTATTGTTTCAAACGTCCAGACATAAACAATGACCACTGGAAGTCTGCAAGCAGTTATCAAGTGTATTCATGGCAATGTGTCAATCGCCTGAATTCATTGTCGCCCGACATTGTTGCCACTTATTGCTCACGATGCGCAACTACAGTGGTTTAAATTTACAGCTGTTAATAATCGTCTTCCGATCACGAAAGAAA